AAAAATGCATGAATATTACGGGGCGTGCAATCGCGGGAGAAAATTAACGGTATCGTTACACGCTAATCACGTCGTGTAGTTCCCGAACATACTCGAAATCATTCGCGCGATAAAACAATTATACCCGTTCATCTCCGCAACACGCGTGTTCGCAATAATCTAATTGACTTTTGCTCGCTATTAGTAGGACATTAAAAACTCGAGCGCGTAATGTGACGCCGAGTAATTGATATTCAAATAAAATGACGATTAACAAAGTAGCGGGAGAGAATTGATATTAAAATTACGTTTCGTTTGCAAAAAGAAAAAAATAAACGACAGAAAGGGATAAAGAGAGAGAAAGCCCAATCGTCGCAACGCGAATATGGTAACCATTACTTTGCGATATTACGACTCGAATAATCATTTCAATTATATACGGACCCGACGCAACCTCCTCGTACATTTTTATTTCGTCATTCGCGATTTTCCAGCGCGCGGCTGGAAGGAAAAGGGAGACAGAAAGAAGGGTTGCCGTCGTTTTGCCTCCCTTTTCACTACCACGCGCTTTAAATTCGGTCTGCGCCGCGGACCAAGGGGAAACAGTTCCCGGGAGATTCGCTCGTGAAGTCAAAAAACTCGCGAAAGAGAGTCGGTGCAAGACACACGTGGTCAGACGGAACGCAGACACGTGAAGAGCCCAAAGGGCCCTAAACCCGACCGGTCGTTACAGTCGCACTCTCTCTCTCTCTCTCTCCTGGTCTCGTCGACTGACCTAAAGAGAGACGAAAACGTGTCGCATCACTCGATTTCGCTGCGGAATGAAAGGAACAAATTAATTTTTTAAAATTCCAAAAATATATAATCCCTTCTCCAGCTGCCGAAACGCTCCTTTGCGTCAATTTTCGGAGAAATTTATAGTTAAAGTCGTAAAAAGATCTATTTTAATGTACCTCACCGTGTTACATTTACGACGTGCTGGAAAAGTTTTATTCCATTCAGAATTATGTATGAGAAATTTCAGTCCCCTGTAAAGAGAACTTTCTTGCCAAGATTAAGGTTAATGGGGTTTTCGTGATTAAATATCGGGTGTAAATTGTAAATTGAGAGTCACGAATCCATCCATTTTTCAATTGTTTATAATTTAAACGGGTTATTAGAAAGGGCGTTCGTTAAGTTGCCGATGTATCAAAAAATTTTGAAAATCCGAATATAAATTCAAAGTTTAAACGAGCAAATACACTTTCGCGGATTCAAACAATGGTTACAGATTGGATAATTAATTATATAATTAATATCTCTTTCTAATATTCGATCACAAGAATCTTCCACTTGAATTTCTTTACCGCATCGATTCCTCTGGAGAGTTCAAAGTTCCGACGATACATTTAATTGTCAAAAGTTGAGCTTTCTGGCATAATATTGTAAATTGCGTTAAAAAATAATTTGCTTTTATACAATTTGAACTCTAATTTTCTCCAAATTATGAAGCAACGAAACATTACCGATTTAAGCCGAGAGAGCTTATTGATTTATTAAAAGCAAGCTGCGAGAAACAATTTTTCAAACTCTTGATTTGTTTCGCTGTTTTATCCATTCGCGAAAGAGATTAATGCAGTTACCGGGCATTGTAATATTAAAAGAAATATCTTTCGCTCTCCCAGTTTCTTCTCCCGATGGATAATTCCGGACGCGCGATTGCCGGTGTCAAAGCACGAGAGGGGGACAAGATTATTGCATTGACAATTTTAATGATTAGTACTTTGCGAGGACGCTGCAATATCGTGCCCACCTCCCCGGAGATTACGTCGAACTACCATAGTCACCAGGCACAATTATAATGGCGTGTGGAAACGTTAATACTATTTATTCGTTAATAACTCCGGAGTCATTACACACCGCGATGCTGTTATTACTGTCCTTCCAAGATCTATGTTGCGACCAATAATGAAATTCCGCGCTGCATTCCGTAAACGTTATCGAACAATTGCGCGCGGATATAATGACCTTTATCGAAGAACGGCATCTTTATCGGTACATGCGTCTTTCCCCGGAAAAAAAGCTTCCGCTCTCGCAGATTGAATTCCTTATCTTTCGTGCCAGAAATTTTACTTTTCAAAATATTAATAGCGAACGATTAGGGAAATAATTGTTTCTCGCGCTCTCTCTCGCGATGCGAAATGGAAAAGAGTTCGCCGTAACAGATATAATAATCCTTATCAAAAGAATTGAATTATATTTTATTCCCCGTTGGAACAATTAAAACTGGCAGGAGTGACAAAAAAGAATTTAAAAAAAAAAAAAAAAAAAAAAAAAATCTCTCCCTCCGAAGAGCGATATTAGCAAGAATTTTTCGACACACCTTTGGCGATTTTCGAGGGTCTCCCGTGACCATGTTTAGGCCCGTCGCGGATGATGGAGTAGCGGCGGGAAATCAAGCGGAAAAGAGGGAAAAAAAAAAAAAGGAGAGAGAGAGAGAGAGCACAAGCACACGAGAAGGTAAATTCGGGCAATGCACACTTCGCGCGAAATAACTCGCTTCGCCTCTCGATTCATCCCACTATACTCCGGGAGAGAGCACAACCCCCTCGCCACCCCCGCCTCGCGCTGCCGCAACCCTCGGTCTCCCTCCTTCCGCCGCCGTGCTGCGGCCGCCGCCGTTCTACCCCCCCCCCCCCTTCAGCCTCCCTCGTCGTCCACCGCCACCGCCAGCACCACCCGTCGTCTACCCCACTTTCGTGCCTCCACCAATGTATTCCTGGCGTTTCGCGCTGCAAGGTCAACAAACTTCTCCCCGATAAAAAATAAATGAAACGCAGAACTGTTTGAAATTGTAACAGTGGCAACCGGGGGAGATTGCTCCCGATAACTTTAAAGAGGCACGATTCCTTCGGTCGCTCCCTCACCTAGAAACTTAGCGCGCGGGATTTGGTCATTTCCTTTCTTTTTTTTTTTTCCTTCCTTTTCGACAAAGGACCCCCGCACACTCGAGTTCGATGACTCTTTGGTGAGAGAATTCGGATTAGAACGAGATAACGCGCTACTTTTCACGGGAAAACACGCCGCAAAATTTGCAACTGGGCGCGCGATGACGTAAGCGCCCCAATTACTTGGAAAAATGGGGACGAATCGTAAGTGAAATAATAAATAAAATTTAAAAGTGTAAGACAGGCAATAAGAGCCAATCGCGGAAGACTGGAAATATCTGTGCACAAGGCACCAAATTTCACTCGGTCGCGGCCAAGATTTTAAAAATATGAAATAATCTCATATATTTTTGAGATTGAATTTCAATAATCCTTTAACTATAATAAATAAAATGTTGGTCGGCGTTCTTCCGCCAAGTGTATCTCGCTCAACCGGAGCTGTAAATTCGTCGTTATATCGGGCATTGGCAGCCGCTAAATCCATCGTTTAAATTTATGTGGCACGCCGGCGATTAATCATATCATTACAGTATGCCGCTCACGCATCGGCGACACAAAGTTCCTTCATTGCGATCGATCGAAATGCAACGGATGTTTATGGCGCGAGCAGAGAACCCCGTCTTTTATATCTATCGTTTAATCGCCCATAATCGAGCGAGTATCGATTGCGCGCGCGGGAACGGTCAAATTGTACAACTTTGCGCCTAATTGCGAAACGTAGTATAGCCGGTGTTGTGTTTGGATGATTCTTAAATTAGCATAGAGAAAGGTTTCGCGAGATAAAAATTTGTAAATTTGTCTTATCGTTCGAGATAAGACATTTTGCGTTCAAATATATCGAGATAAAAGGTAACGTTATACGTGGCGATTCATCGAGATAACTTACAGATGATATTATTATTAAAAGCACTTACGGGTGTAAAAAAAATGTGAATTACGAAAGGGATATAATAGATATTTTTTATTTGTACGTTTTTATCGCTAGTATTTTTACGTCTTACGACTCTAAACCAAATTATCCGAATATTCGCGTCCTATGCGTCGTTAAAAGACGCCTAGAAAATAGGTACACGCGTATTGATTTACGAGTTTCCTTATCGGAATATTAATATATTTATCTCAATTAGTTAGCGCACGGATTGAATCGAAATAATTGAAATACACATTTTGTCACGCGCATACATACCATTTTTTCTTTAAAAAATATATAGCTTTAAATAAAAAAAACTATATATTTTAGTTAGAGAAGAAAGGCATTGTATAAATGTTTCTTTTTTGGCTTTTAAACTCGACGCGCGGGGAAAAAAATTGTTTCGTAAATTTTATGAAAAATGCCGTCTCCCTCTTCGGGGTCTTTCGGTCCGATTTTGTACCCCGTTGCTTTCAAATCGCGCACATCCGTCCATCGACGACGTAAATTATCGTCGCCGATTAAAATCGCATTAAATTTTCACCCGTGACTGAACCTCGCGTATTTCTTCGGGAAAGAAGGAGAAGCGTCGATCGGCTCGTTCGTTTGTCACTCACGCGAGAGTCGGTCACTCTCGGAGAGAGAGAGAGAGAGAGAGAGATCGTCATTGCGTTGCTCGTCGTAACGAGGCTCGCGCGTCGTTGAACGCAAAAAAAAAAAAAAAAAAAAAAAAATCGAGAGCGCGCGAATCGTTTCGATAACTCCTCTATACATTGATATTAAATGACAATAAATTAAACACGATATAGTATATATGTACGTAACGCGACGCGATATGCATGTTTGTTGTTTGATTCTACGCGTCATTAGTCATCTTGATTCGCGCGAGCGGAACAAGCGCACGCAATGTCATCGCGGATAGTTAGTTTCTCGGTCGCGTGCGAAAACCTCGCGGGATCTCGAGTCGCGATATCGGAAATTACTATTATCCTGGATCCGCTAACGCCGACGTTAACGCGATATTTCTAGATATTTCCGGATTTAACGGTGTGACCGGGCGAGATAGGGGCCCGAGAGACGGCGAAGAGAAAAGAGGGGGATGGGGACGAGGGGGATGCAGCAGGGTGGGGTGAAGAGAGGAAAAAAAAAAAAAAAAAAAAAGAAAACGCGTACACACGACGCGGCGATGCGCGCGTGGAGAAAAGGATATTGCGCCGGACCGAACCGCAATCTACCGGCCATTATTTTTGCCCCATCCTGGGTGCATGTGTGGGGTATGTCTATGTATGCATGCATGTGTGTGCGTTCTCGTTCCGTTTACCCGTTCGATCTAATTTCTCGCGGAGGCAAATGATCTCCGGCGCGTTATACGGGGGCTTCTTCTTCTTCTTCTTCATCTCTCGAGAGCCCGCTCCGGCAACGAGTCTAGTTTTGTAAACCGGCATTTTCCGGAAGACTCGGCTCGCGCGCTGAAACCAAAAATCATCAGAGCAGGTCCGGCCGAGAGAAAAGTCCGCGGTGATTAGCCAGCCGGCGCTACGTTGCGCGGAAAGAGAGAGAGAGAGCAGGTTTGGCGGGGCCGCGAAAGGAGGAGAGACGTAGATGAGCAGAGATAAAGAGTAAGAGAGGAAAGGAGCGGTCCCCCGGCAAACGAGAAGCGAGCCGCGATGCATTCGCTCTACTCGCTAGATATAAATACGCGACAGAGGGCAAGGAACCAACCACGCCTGCACCGGCAGCTACTGCCTAACGACACCGACACGCACACACGCGGCCCCATTGTGATAAAGCGAAAGAAGGAACGCTGGTGGACGGAGAGAAGGAGAGCCAAGCTGCTGCTGCTGCTGCGAGTTCGTTCATGCGCCCATCCGTGCGCTGCGAGTTCCGGACGAATGTGGTCGGCTCTTTCTCTCTCTTTCTCTCGAAGACGCGCGGCCAAATATTGCATCGTCGGATAAATATAGGCAGTCGCGCACCGCGCCAGCCCTAACGCGTACTTTTCTCGGGCCGGCTACTGCTGCACTCGTCGAGAGAGAGAGAGAGAGAGAGAGTCGGCATTCCTCTCCCGCGCGAAACGATCGTTAAATCCGTTCTTCGTGGCCGAGAACTTGGCGATAACGATCTCCAAACGATCCGCGTGCGACGTTTTCTTTTTCCAAATCGTTCCTATATGCGCTTCCCGCGTGTAGAGAGACCCCCGCGAGGGTAAACAGAATTACAGCGTTCCGGATGATTATTATATCGGGGAGAATTGACGGGGCAAGAACTCTCGGCGAAAAAAAAAAAAAAATGAATCGCAGCTTCTCCCGGACGGATATTGCTCTCCGTGATTCCGCGCGCTGGAATAAAATTTCAATCGACAATACATATTCGACGGCGCATTCGCGACGAGTTTCGTTTATATAGAAATCCATCTCGAGGCGCGATCGAAATCCCTCGCGGAGATTCCTCCCTCCTGTTTCCCTTTATGCGACGGCGTTATCTCATCGCGGCGACGCATTACAGACGATAAGTTGTAATCGGGTCAGTACAACGATGCATTGTAAAGCGCATCGTCCGACTACGAACTCGCTCATGAATCTTCTCCGTCGAACGCGATATATCGACGATGCGTCCCGAATCTCTCCCGTTTTACGGAACGCGACTTACGTAAGAGAATGCATTACCGTACTTTTCTTCCGCCAATAATATATATAATCGACGATGCGCGAATTCGCTTATTTCGAATTCAAGTAAGCGTCAATAATGCACATTCGTACATATATCGTTGATTTTTTTTTTTTTTTTTTAATTAAACACGCAAATCAAAAATCAGATTCGAGGGAGGATGACTCTTCCTTCGCGCGAGGAGAAACAGGATACACCGAGGCACGCGAGACTGCACGAGTCTCTCGCCGGCTTTGTTTGGGCGCGCGCCGCGCGTCGCGAGGACGAGCACGTGGCCGCGGGGGCACAATCAGTGAAAATCATCGGGTGCGCGGACATTGGGTGGCGGGAAACGTGCGTGATAGCGCGCGCGGCAGCCGCGGAGGGAGGCCCTAATCAACCTGGCGCGCGTGAATCTAACCCCACGCGAGAAACGGGGTGGGAGAGAGAGAGACGGTCGGTGGAGGGATGCTCTCTCTCTCTCTCTCTCTTCGCCGCGACGATCGGAGACGGTTATCGCGGAAGTTCGGCAATTATAGGTGCCGAGTCGTCCTTTTTTCTCCCTCTCTCTCTCTCTCTCTTTCTTCCTCCGATTTTTTTTCCTTCTCTCTTTTTTTTTCGCCGAGTGATATTGATTTGGGAGAGGCAGTTCGTATTCGCGGCACGAGCGTACCTTGTGACTCGCGGAGGCGATGCCGCCGCCAGCCAGCGCGATGCATCACGGCGCAGCGCGCATTGAGGGGTACAACATCGCTGCCGAGAGAGGCTCGCGGCGGCGAGACGAAAGGCTGGACGGAGAGAGAGAGAGAGAGAGAGGGCCGGTCGTTCCCCTACGCCGAATGACCGCCCCACCGCGCGGACCGTTCATCCCCCGACGACGCGGTATCAAACCCCTTCCACCGGTTCAACGAACATAACTTCCTCGCTTCGCCTACTCCCGCCGACCCATCCCCTCCCGCCGCGCCGGTCCTCGCCGGTCGTCTCGTTCTCCACCATCGCCACCACCATCAGCCTCCTCTCCAGGAACGAGCGTCGAATTTCGCCAGCCCCGGTCTTCTCCGGCGAATTTTGTCGCGACGTTCCGATGCGTCGCCAGAGTTCCGAGAGAATTTTGCCGAGGCGCCTTTGACAGCCGATCAGCTGATCGGCTGTCATCCGGCGAGCGACTTTTAATTATGAATTTATTTGAAATCTAATCCGATTGATTCTCCCTCGAGTCTGTCAAACGTACAATTTTGATGAAAAATCGAGCTAATTCGAAGGTCACTTTCGCATGCAAAATTGTAATTGTTAGAACCGCGTAGACGGGTGGATGCATCGACGAATCGAATCGCACGAACGAATAATGAGAAGAAAAGGGCGAGAAAAGTATAATTGACGGAGTCGCTCTCTTAGAACGATATTAGGCCCGCGGCATGTGTCACGTGTCACTTTGTGACAGACTCCGCGAGTGTCCTTGGACAAGTTGGTCCCCTCCACCCTCCGTATTTTGACGGGCCGCGAGTGGAATAAGGGAAGGGGAGTTAGTTTGCCCCCTCGGATGCATCCACCCCTGCGACTGTCGCTACCATCGCCGCCGCCACCTTCTCTCTCTCTCTCTCTCTCTCTCTATACCATCCCAAACCCGAACCAGTCCAGAAATCCCCCACTCCGCACGCGTGTGCACCGCGACGGAAGCGGCAACGCCGCAGAACGCTCGCCAGTGTCTCGGTCTTGGCGAGTTACTCGGGGGCTCAGGCCGAGTCTACCGAGATTGTGTCTACCGGCGCGGGTAACCCGAAAGCGAGTGTGGCGAGGATTAAAGTCGCGGGCCGCTCTACGGCATGCGGGACCGTCTCGCTGCTGTCTGAAGGCCGTACAGGAACGCACGAGGGACGGCGCGTCAACGATAAGAAAAGTTTCACGGCGGATCTAGAGCAGGAGGCCGACGCCGCCGCGACGACGACGACGACGACGACGACGACAAGACGAGAGAGAACGGCGATAAAGGGAGGAGTGGACGACAGCAGGAGCACGCATCGTCGTCGCGCGGTAGACGTAGGGAAGAGGAGGAGCGACAGGGACAGAACGGCCGACGAGACGGGCGCCGCGCGCTCGCACGTTGCCGCGCCGCGCTTCGATATATCGCACCGCACGCGCGTCGTGATCCGCGTAACACGCGCGTACGCACCGCGTCGTGAAACGCGACCCATACATATTTATATGAATACACGGTGACCCGCGCGCGGAGATAATACAGTGTAAATGGCGCTCTCGGCGCAGAACCAGTCGACGTCGTACGTGAACTTGTATTACTCGATCGTCCAGCGCGCGGCGACGCGCTACTTTAAGGAATACTACAACTCTGGTGAGTAACAGATCGTCATCGTCATCATCATCGTCGTTATCGTCGCGTCCCGCACGTGTCCACATGCCACGCACGCACGCGATCGTACACAGACATGTATATACATATATATATCTACATAAGTATATGGCTCGTATCATCAAACTCTCCTCTCCTTCTTTTTCTCTCGCGAGAATCGCGTTATCATTCGTCATCCATCCCCACCTGCGCCTCCACGTTTTGCCAAAACGTCACTACGTCATCGGGTTGCGCCGCGCGATAACACGCGGTTTTGAGTTTTCCCGCCGATCCCCCTTTTTGCTCGAGGTTTCCCCCCTCGTTCGGACAACTCGTTCAAACCGACGTGATTTTCAATGACTTGGTTCCCTCCGGGTGACACCGCGAAAAATGATTCTCATCACGTGACGCGATATAGAGATAGCGAGATACGTGTTTCTGTAACTTGAGAGTGCGATACGAAAGAATCGTCGAAATGTTTTTTCTTTCTCCGAGTACCTGTTATGAACCTGTTCGGAAAGCATTTCCATCGGAATCATTTTATTTTTTTTCCGAAATAATATAATAAGAAATTTAGGAAAAAATGAAAAATTATTCGGAAATATGGGTGCGTAATCTCTCTCGTCCCGGTCCACGAATATACATACCGGGACAGTTTCGGACTACAACCGGCGATTATTTTACCGAAGCAGAAGTGCTCTTCCGACTCGCGATTAGCAACGCGCCGCTCAGACACGTGTCTCGTTCCAAACTCGTGTGTGTGTGTGTGTGTGTGTCTGCGGTCGAGCGAGAACAGTCGGTGCTTAAGTTGAGAGAACGAAAGGGGAAAAAAAGAGAGAGATAGAGGAAAGAAAGAACGAGGGTACTGCCCGTCGGTCACCGCGAATTATACAAAATTCCTCGTAGGGCGAAAAACACACAGAGAAAGAGCGAGAGAAGAGTCGTGTATTTATATATCCGCGCGCGGCTGAAAAAAAAAAAAAAACCAGTATCGCGAGGGGGAGAAAGGAGGATATTTACTGCAAATTCCCTCCGAGAGAGCATCGGCGAATTAAATGTACCAAAAATAGGAGTCGAAACGGCGAGCGAGAACGTGGATGAGACAGAGCCGGTTGATGTCGCGTCACTTTGCAAAAATCGGAAATGAATTTCGAAGTAAGCATCGAGATTGATAATTGAATGTAATTTTTTTTTTTTTTTTGATAATTGAAAAGAATTATATCTGCAATAGTATAAGATGTTGGTTATAAAATTGAGTGGTAAAAATCTCTATTATATCGTGATGGATGCGAGATTGTACGAGGTGAAATGGGTAAAAAGAAAATATAACGCAGCGAGACTCTGTGTACAGAAACTTCATAAACCTTATCCTAGGGTCTAAGTGGATCGTATTTCGACGGGATAAAATCATTCGGGAAAGAAATCGTAAAGGAGAGAAAGAGAGAGAAAAATAATTGCATACACAAACGTTTACAATTGACGTCCCCTCGCACGTGTAAACTTGATCATCGCAGTATAAATTAGATGACGTTAAACGTGGCGAATGAGTACGCGTGTAACGCTTGAAAGAAAAAAAAACGAAATGTGCGAGTTGCGTATACATCGATTAAACGTGTTTGTATAGTAAACAGTTATCAATTCTTGAAAACTACGTCGGTTATTTTGGCCGATATAAGCGAGCGATATAAATAATTTCAGATACAACGCTATAGGAAATAATCTCGGATTTTCAAATTTAACTCGATCCACACAAGTAACACGTAGCATAAATGTATTTTAAAAGCCACCGTGTAATGAGTCTCGCGATATCAGGAAATTTGAATATATTAATTATCGGTAATATTGTTCGTCGTAATAGTAGATAATCATCACTCATCGTAATTGATCCGTATCTTCTATAATAATACTCGATATATTGAATCGAATTAATTTGTCGTTTGCCGTAATTGCGAGTTATATTTTTCGGTAATTAACCGGCTATTATATATATTATATTAACGCCGTCCGTTTTACTCGATGTTAGCTTGTTTCGAGTTAATGTGCAAATTACGGTCAAGAATTTATGTAAAATGGCGAGTATGTATATATATACATATATCGCACTTTGGAAAGTGTTTCGCTTCTCGATGCGGGACAGAAAGCGCGCGGAGAGAAAGAAAGAGAGAGAGAGGAAGGAGAGTTGCGCGATGATATGCCGACGCAATCGCGTAATCAGCCGGCGCGTTTGGGTCATCTAATCGGTCGTCGCGACCAGCAAAGTGACGAAACAAGTCACTAGTTCCATTTCGGAGGAACCGTCCTCCGACGGTCTCTTCTATGATTCTCTCGCCAATTTGCGTTGTCCGGAGTGGAGAAATAATTCGATCGTCATTGTGCCCTCCAATTCGACGGAATAACGTACCAAGTGCGTATGTGTGTGTGTGTTTTTGTATATGTGTGCGAGAGATTCAAAAGATTCCCTGTTATTCACTGATCCACCAAGTCGACCAGTTTGGAGCCGACTTTTCCTCGGCGAGAAGTCTCCTTCCAGCTAACTTTTTAATATACAACCTTAAATGTCTTTCCTCAAACTTCGAAATTGTTAAGTATGTTTCATTAACCATTTTTTCGCGACTCGTTAGAATCTCTCGAGGTCGACCAACCATCTACACAGAGTTTTTCACAGAAGAAATGCAATATTCTCGAATCAATTTTTTTCTTTCACAAGATACATGCTTCGCGACAAGTAGCTGTCCTTTAAGACCTCTTAATTTTTCCAAAACTCACTTTTTTTTTAATTTAGCGTTTCATTGTCTTACGTTTCATACCTTTTATCCGTAGAAACCAAAAGTTTGCTTCAACATACTTAGTTGAATCAATTTCAAACTATAAGAATAAGAACGTAGACTTTTGACAGTCACAGAATTTTATTTCATCTCCACTTTGGTTGTACACTAACATTTTCAAATTTGTCCTTTATCATAGGTATAGCGAATTCGATTGAATGCACTAGTGCATATAAAAGTTTATTGCACACAAGTTCACAATGACACAAGTAATTTAAAAAGGAAAATAATTAAAAGCCATTATCATTGTCCAATATGAATGATGATAATATCGATAGCTCTTACTATGAATTATTTTACTTTTTTAATGACTTATGTCATTGTAAAATTGTGTGCGCGATAACCTTCATGTGCACTCGGCGCGCGCGCTAGTGCATCCAACCGAATTCGCTATTAGAAAATATGGTGATACCGTACGCGCGAACGATAAGTATCAATGTATAGGATTTGCTTAGCGAAACATCTCCCTCCGCCAGACTCCGAGCGACGCAAACTCTCCGTTCCACGCCGATCGCGAGACGCGCCTGGTCAAGGTGAGCGTCGTCGGCCGAGGACTCTCTCGCGATCGTGCTCTTTGTGACCGAGAAACGCCGGCGACTCGTGAGCGAGCGCGGCGAATGACAACATAGGAGAGCCTCTACGACGGGAACAATCGCAATTGTCAGCGAACGACATCGCTTATCTCTGCGATCGCGAGACGCTCGCTCGCATTTTTTTTCATTCATTACACTGCTCGACAAAACAATTCACCGAAACTAACAATAAGTTTCTTATAGATTTTTCACTGCTGAATATTAATTTGCTTTCCAAATTGTTCTATCACAATTTTGAGAAATTTTTAATCAAAGTTAAGAAAAAGGGCTCTTTTCACAAACTTTGTTATATTATAGCTATAATATGTGACGTGAGAAAAGTTTTATTGCAATTAAAATAAAGTATATTGTTAGGACTTTCAACCCCTAAAACGAATTTTTGATGTCTGCTATGGTTAATAAAATATCCATATGATTAAATGGGATGTTTGCGGAAGTTAGCTTAGATTATTGATGATTTACCAAGTAGATTTTAATTATGTTGATTTAATCTTAAAAGTTTGTTTAAATCACTGAATACGGTCCAGTGTCAAAATTGTCAAATATATAAAAAAGCATTTTTAAAAATTTTGATATCGAGTACCATTTCGAATTTCACAATTTGAACATTAATTCGTATTCAATGACGAAAAAATTCTTCCGCAAATTAATATTACGATATTTATTATAATGTTAATATGACGAAGTTCGCGAAAATACTCCTTTTTGCAACTTTAATTCAGCATCCAAAAAATTATAAAAAACTACTAGTCTTGTTCCGATGTTCAGAAAAGTAATTTTTTGTTTCAACAGTTGTTATTTATCACTTGTCAATTCCGCGAAAAGTGGGAATAAAAATTGAACGGCTGAAAAACTAACGCGATTAATAAATTCGGATCGTATAAAGTGAACGTAATATTAATTTTCGAGAGTCAGATCGTCGCACATCGGATCTCGAAGACACGACCGAGGGGTCTCTCGCGCGGGTTATATTTGTGCAACGGGGAGAATATATAGACTCTGTTTGAGAGTCGCGCGCGCATTTTGCTGGAAGGAGACGAATTGCCTATTTAGATATGCCGAGCCGATAAGAGTGTGCTCCTGGTGAAAATTTACTACGTGTCGGATTGCATGCATCAAATCAACTTTATGCATTATCAACATTTGTGCGGTGGCACACAGAAGCTTCTTGATTTATAATTTTATAATATTCAATTATTTTACGTGACTCATCGGAGAACAATTTCGCAAGTTCTTCGACACGAGTCTTTATATCCTAGATAAGCGTTACGAATTTCCATACGTTCTCGATTTGCCGTAATAATCAATTTTCAGTAGTAATTTACGGTCCGAATATTCTGCATGTTTGTTTGCGATGCATTAGAAACAACTCCAAGTTTCTTCTCGTTATTTTATAATTACGACGAGACGTTATGTACATTTAATTCTCGAAAGGATCGAGGCGTTAGATTGATAATAAACGTGAAACGCCAATAAATCGTACTATTAATGCGGAAAAAAGCTTTTATCGCGCATCGGTAATAATTGTTATATTGTCTCAATAATCGCGTGAATACATTCGCGCGGTTAAAATCGCGAGCGTAAT